CTTTCGTAAGTAATGTATAGTAGTTTACGTCAAATCGTCGGCGTCCGACCCTTATCTTTTATCGGAAATGGTTTATTCCGCATCCGCATTTGACTGAACTTCACTATACTAAGCCGCTCCATAAACTTCTATTAACCCCTTGGTTCCCGGAATTTTTGACGCCTAACGCATAAGTCACGGTACTTTTATGGCGTAACTTACGACGTACATATTTACTTTGGTTCTGTATGATGTGCATAGACATCTGCGGGAAGCGAAATTAAATCTCAACAGGTTTTCGCAGCAAAGTCGTAAGTTATACACCTTTGTTGTTTATATCACTGACTCAATGTCGTAACTGACGCCGGAGGCTGACAGAAGGGGTGCAAGAACCAGACCTCACAGGGAAAAAGACGCAGCAACACGTGCATCAAATCTGCGAAAACTGCATTACAACAAAATGCTACCACTCATCAAATCTAACACATGTTATCTCATCACTACTCTTGGACTCGCTGAGCGTTGTCATTTTCATTTCTGGATCCCTCGTCGTCCGCCTTCCAGTTGTGAAGCTGTAATTCTCGGCGAGTCTTCTTCCGCATTCCAGGTATCTTCCCGGGACGCCGCAGCACGACTCTTTTTCCTAAGGTGGCAGGGATCGCCTGACCGCAGTCAAAATCGTCATGCCATATACCAAAGCACGTCTTTGCTTCGCCCTTGTAGGTATGCCGGATCTTACTGCAAAGCCAACATTTAGCGTTGTCCAGCGAGCAGCGTTCACAGAAGAAGGTCGTTGCGTAAGATTTCTTCTTTCTGTCGGTCCTGAGTAGTGCGCAGACTTTACAGGATCTCTGTCGTCTCTTTTGGACGCCGCTGACAGTCACCCAATCTTCCGACTGTTTCACTTGATGGGTGAGCCGCACTGGGGTACGTTGGCGCTTTTGACGTAGCGGGGGTGGGGTCGCTACGGCACCGTCAAAGTCTTCAGGCTTCAGCTGGAGAAGCTGATTCTGGAGAATACAATACCAGTCTCCACGTGTAGTTGCTGTAGTACCCGTAATTCGTGCGGTTTCCTTGTGTGAGATGTATGCGTTAACCAACGCTAGATCTACGAGACCCAAGAACAAACTCATGTAGTATTTATTGAACTTGGTGGACGTCTGCAACGAGAACTTCTGAAGGCGGAGTTGATCGTGAACATCAACTCCTCCCATCCAGCGCTGATAATCCGTCGCAGCTGCAGGGCAAGGCACAGTAACAGGTCCCACGCGCTTCACATTCCTGTTGATTGACGAAGCCGACATCACAGTGCCCGTGCACAAGTAATGCACGGGTTTACTGTCCCACCAGTGGAACGCCACCATAGTTGGCACAGCAACAGAACGGGAGAATGTGAACGCTCCGCGAGGGATGCTTTCGGGCCTTGTCTTCCGAGCCGCTTTGATGTTCTTGTCGTAGCCAAGTCTGTCCGTCATTATAGCGCCCAAGACGTAAACACGCATGCCCAGAAGTTCGATCGCTAGAAGGACAGATGAGTAGAATCGATCAATCACGACCAAGTGCCACGGATGGCGCCGATTTTCGTGAAGCACGCTCTTCAGGTTACGAACGACTGCCGCGGCACCAGTCTTATGGTCGAATGAAGAGTCGCCAGTGTCTCCAGTATTTCGTTTTCCAGCATACATTTCGAATCTAGTAAGTTACGACATAGATGTTAGACAGGATATCAAAGCAGTCAATTACGACATATGCTAAGAATAAAGTACCTGTGGCAATATGCTGTCCTAGCATCACACGTCATAAACATTTTCGTGCCGTACCGGTGAGGTTTGTCTGGCATAAACATCGGTGTTGTATTGCGCTTGGATATTGAAGGAAGAACACCTTCATCGAACGAGAACACTGCCGGAAGTGACCATCCAGCCAGAAACCGGTCCTGTAGCTTGGTGACAACAGGCCGAAGTTTCCATAGCTTGTCTCTTGGCCGCTCACCCTCGTTGTCGACAAAGTGGAGATCTCGTAAGATATCTTGGAAGCGGTTACGCCCCATGAAACGGCCGAACGTTCCAGCAGGAACTGCCCCGTCCTCAGTCATCGACCAGCGTGCTGCAAATCGGCGCTTCTGCGGGCATAACATCCGTGCGATCAGAAGTCCTAGAACCTGAAGGATTTCATGAGTCTGGTACGCTGCTTTTGCTTTCAGCCGCCGGCGAATTTGCAGGAGGATTTCTCGTTTGGGTTCCAGCTGCTTGGCGTGTATTGCTTGTGCCCGCTTTTCGATCTGTTGCAAACTGTACCGGTTCGTTTCAGCGTTAATCATCACCCACAGCGATTTCGGCATGTAGTAGAACAGGGTCAGAAGCGGGGAATGACAGACACTGCGTAGCTCAGGTACAGGCTTGCCCACTTCGTCATTGAGGCCTGGGTACGGGAGTGACACATCCTCAAACTCCGACGACACGGGAGTCCATTTCGTTGCTCTCAATGCGTTAGCTCTCGCCTCCGCGGCATTTTTGTTGACACCATCCTGCCCAACAAGAAGGGATTCGACGAATGCCTCGTCCATCTGTGGAGCGTCAGCATCGGATATGACATCATCATCGCTTGAGGTGTCCTCTACGGCGGCATCTTCGTCACTGTCGATAACTCCATCGCTGTCGCTCCGACCAGAACTGAGACTTTCATAGGAGCTCAAATTTGCGTCGTCAGGGACAAAGTTAACGTCCTGCTTGAAGTTGGAGAGTGACCGAAGCACCGGTCCGGAGGTTTCAGCACAAACACCATCTCGTTCAGCATCACTATCAATGCCAGAAGCTTCCGACAGTAAGTAAAGGCTTGTTGCTGCATGTAGATGTGACTCGGCATCTTCGAGTTCTCTCGAAGATAATCCAAACGCTCGTAGCACTGCGGCGTGCGACAGCTCGACGTCTGAGTCACTCGAGGCTCCAAATAGATCATCAAGAGCGTGTTGTGAGAGCTGTGCGCTTGTGTCGATCTGCGATACTCGAATATCTCTATCCTCAACGTTTTCGATGTCGGGACTGGCGTTGTCTTCGGTCTTCTCTTCTTCATCCTCGCTAGTCGCAAGTAAACCAGACTCTATCGCATGCCTCACCACCGCATCTTCTCCAACGAATACTTCAACACCATTCGGGGTCTTGTACCGCCACTCCGTCTCGAAGCCGCTCGGTTTCTTCGATGTCCATCCAACCGCTCGCAATTGTCTCCAGAAATGCTTGAAATCGATGTCCCTGGCAACAGCAGCACCGGCATCTGTCTTCCCACGCGTACTGGACCGGATGCGCACCATCGCGCAAATTCTGGAATGGCACGGAAACAGACTCCAATCCTTTCCTGATCCACATGTCTCTTTCCCGTTCCGTCCGTCTCCCTTCCCGCGTGGCCCGTTTCTGATGCAATTTTTATTTACCTCTCTCATCTTATTTTCTCGAATGACTTGAATAAAGTATGGCCCGAGCTATTGCCTGTTGTTGTGTTCTCTACGTCGTAACTTACGACATAGCAAATTTCGTATGGCGTATGTTAAGACGTCGGGTACCAGGGGGTTAAGAAATCGTAAGGCGTTACCGTCTACGATAACCACAGCCTTCCATTGGCTGGATTAATTCAGAAAAACGCATTGAACGTAGGCACAATGAGTGGTGGAAGTTCGTAACCCACGGGTGGCGCAGCAAGCGACGTAGAGGCAATACGCGATGCCTGCGTGTCCAAGCACACCAGAGTGAAGTATAAGAGCGGTCTGAACGGTATCAAGAGATGGATTGTGGAGGAGCTCTCCCAGCAAGATGCTAACACCGGCAGGTCCTTTGACAAGCGCGACAAACTTGTTCTAACAAAGTTTACTCCTGCATTGTTTTGAGCATTTCCTGGTATACAAACGCAGTTCTGTCAAAACTGCCACTTTAAGTGGATACCGAAGTGCTATTAAGGACCTGTATCGTGTAGAACGCCTTGCATTACCAACTGAATATGGAGACGGAATGAAACAATTTTTCTGGTTGGAAACGAATTGAGGAGGATAATGGCCAGATCAGTACTCCTAAGTCATCGGGCAAGGAGCCTTTGACGTACTCATGCTACAGTGAGTTGTGTCTGGAGACTCTGAAAATTAATGATGGCGGGTTCTCTCATCTCTTTTTAACTTCACAGTCGAACATGATGTGCAGGTCTATGTCAGTACAAACACTCCAGACTCAGCGTCTATTGGCAAAAAAACGACAGCGTTGGCGTCGTATTTTCCAAGACCAAGACGATCCAAGAAGGTTCAGGACCACGTGACCCGCGTCACTTGTACGCGAATCCTTTAAGTCCGTCGACGTGCTGGATAACTGTCCTGCAGTCTATCTTCCGTGTCATCCTCGGCTGGAACCCGGAGCACATTTTCCAGGATCCAACCAGAAACTACGTTTTGGCAAGATTTTAACTGGGTTTTTGAAAAGAGTTGGTTCTACCAAGCGTTACGGCACCCACTCAGTACGTACATGGGTAGCATCATTTGCGTGCGGAGGAAGCACTGGCGGGCCGTCTATAGTAAGTGTTTGTCTTCGTTGTGGTTGGAGTATTGGTGGTGTTCAAGATCGCTACTTTCGCTACGAAGCTGCTGGTGATCGGTTCTATGGGCGAGTGGTGGCTGGCCTTCCCGTAAATAATTCAAAATATTTGACATTACCTCCTCATGATCGTGATACCTCTAACAATTTTGTGACATCGTGTGTGAGGACTATGTTTTTTAGTCTGTGTGGTGAGGTCAATATGACGGGAATATTACAGTTATGCCTCGCTAGTCTGGTTCAACACGCTCACTATCACGTGCTGAAAAGCAAGTGTGTTGCAGCTGGGAATATTATGCGAGAATTACTACGCGAAGAAATTCACAATTTGTTAGCAGAAGTCGGACTTCAACGTATTTACTAAGTCGTGACGCTGTAGCTACTACTGCACCAAAACGCTCGTATTTACGTGGGGTGGAAAGTTTCACCTTCTTCCCACAGAATTTAGCTTCCCGAGCATTGACTCCCTAGGCGCATGGATGCTTTGGTGGTTGGGAATCCAAACCTCGGCAACCCTCCGTATAGATGGATACCGTCTGGTGATTTAGATACACCTCAGAAGAAAGCAACACTAACTGAGTGGTCAATCATGATGAGGCACATCACGAACGGAATTGAAGCACAATTCGGCACTCCAGTGTCTACAGTCATCGATGAACCCCACGCTATCAAGTTGTTTAACATAGGATATGAGGTACTTCGAATAAAGCCGAGCAAACTAAAGCGTAGAACAGGACAGATGAAGCTGTCAACAGCACCCAGACTCGTCCGGCAAAATGACCAAGATCAGGGAAGAGACCACCAACTAATCTCCAAACCACGAAAACGGCCATACGCACACGGGATGGTGTTCACTCTGCTTTTGACGACGTAGTAGAAGCACTCAAACACGTAAACAGTATTTGAATCCTGGCAATACATGATTAAGCTGTTGATTAAGTTTTTTCCACCAATCACATCATATCATCATACCGTCGCAGAATGCCTCTTGGTTTCTCAAGTCAATTGTTTATTATTTTTAATTTTTATCTATTTCCATTTTTTAAGTTGTACATGTATTAATACCATTGGCTTACTAATACTTAAATTTTAAACTTAAATGTTTTACGTGTAATTCCAAATGCATATAAAAAAAATTGGTCAAAACCTAGTAAGATTACAACTTGTTGGGTTAGTGGGGATCATCATCTGCTGCAAACGCAAGCAAGTTTACTACCCCCAGCAGACTGTGGTGACTGAAGTGGAGTAGTCTTCTATCATCCACCGAGAGACCCTGTCATAACAAGACACTTCCTGCTTGGATTCGCTCAGTTCAGCAGACATCTTCGCAGTCAAAAACCCAGGAAGAACCAGTGAGCCCTAGCGCGCTCGACCAGTTTCATTTGCATCCGAGTTTTCAATATATGATCCAGACGACGCATCCAGTCAAGATCTGGGCGGACGAACAAAACGAGTAAAGAGTCACTATACTAGGATTTCCAGTAGGATGCTTGCATGGCCAGAATTCACAGTCGTAACGAGGACCAACTCCGTATTGTGCCAGCACCACAGTTTAAAAAAATATTTAGGTGCTTGACCAGAATTCACTATAGCAAAAGCGACGCGACCGGGAGGCGAGCCAGACCCGGAAGAGATTGATACGTCCATTGCTCTACCACCAACGAAAAAGAGGCGCTAAATGTAGGGACATCGATACTACCATGCGATCGTGTTTTGAATTTCGTTTTTTTTTTTTAGGATCAACGCTGATTTTTTTTTTTACCTTCCGGAGATGGTAACCATCGGTAGTGCCTCGTGGACGAGATTTAATTTTAGGTTTTTAGATCCACCATAAACAAGCTCACTCTTCATATACGTAACGGTTTAAGCACATATACTTTGTGCACCAGCTAAATGTCGATCGATGTGATCGAGTCATTCCGAATGGAACCGAAGCGCTGATCCCCGCAAGAGCGTTGCTGTCACGCAAGTGCGTTTCAGTCACTGACGAGGGAAGCTCAGTGGTACCCAAAGCCCCAAGCATTTATGCAAAATACAGAGGGGTATCTGCATGCGCGCCGAGCATTCTTGTAAAACCCAGAGAGTCAATCAATTTTTTTTATTTAACCCTAATTGTTTGCGGTAACATTCACTGGGTTATTGGGTTGTGAATGTTGCTCCTGGCCGCCACAAGCAATATTCACCTGGGTAATTCTAAGTGTGTAGAGGACATTTAGTATAGGAGGTAATTATATCAACCTTTGTATGGTGTAGAAATTACATCCCACCTAAATTCAAAGGGAATAGCACCACTTTGGCTTAGTAAATCGATGTGACTCGCTGATTCCAAGGCATATCGAGTCACACAGTAAAACGCCGACACAAAGAGAGTACAAGCTTTTTTTTTCTTAGTATTAGAAATAAAGAAAGTGAGTTTTTTTTTAGGCAGAATCGCACCTCTGCTAAAACTCTGGATATAAAATCCAGAGAACTACGGGATAGGTGTGTTTTTCACATGTCTACAAGGGTATCAATTTTACGAACTGGTTTACTGTAAAAGAGCGTGCCAATTGATGTAAAAAGGTATCGCTATAGGATCTTATATGAATTAGGCGGAGATAATCAGATCTCTGGGAGACTCTGAAATTAATTTCAGAGAATACTCTGAATCTCGTCGAGTAGCATCCTCTCAAACATCGCTATGATGCTATCGACTTCGTCTTGATCTGCCCTGGCAAGAGCCTTCATAAACTCGCTCCCACGTTCGTCAATCTTTGATATCACGTCGAGACCAACAGGCATCAATCGACTGTAAGTTTCCAGGACCATGGAACTGTCATCCGTCGGTCTACGAAGCACATACCATGCCACTCCGTTGGTGTAAAGTCCTTCAAAGGTCCCCTGCCCTTCAGTAAGCATACGACTCACAAAGACAACTCGATCAGACTCGATGTATCTCCTCGTCACACT